TTTTTTTTTTTTTTGCAGGCTAGATGCAGCCACAGAGCTTCGTTCAGTAGACTGTAAATCTAGTGGGTCTAGTGGTAGTTAGCTTTCCCTTCTGTTCCACTAGTCTCCTGGCAGAGAAACTAATTAATTTTCTTTTTAGTGCGAAGAAACACCAAAGGTTAAACTTACACGGTTCAAACAGGAGCTATTAATTGACCTGGCTTTGTTTTACTGGGCATAATCCAAGGAACAGTTGCAGAAACTGTTGTGTCTGTAGGTAGGTGATGAGCCCTGGAAACAGTGTAAGAATGGCTGGGGCTGATAATCACCTGCTTTTGGCTTAGATGAGCCTATAAATCACTCATGTAATTAAATCAAATAGCTGCATAATTGGCTTCCTGTGAGTGCTTGCTGCACTACCCTTTGATAAATTGCTAAAACCTTATTGGAAATCTTTTCATCTTTTAAATGATGATAGACTTTCAAAATTTTATAACTTTATTGTAATTCATTTTTTTCTACTTGTATGATTTGTGAGGTCCGCTGAAGCGTGGCAAGTGTCAAAGCTTAGTTTGGATTTTTAAGAAGGGCAGTTCAAGTGAGCGAAGAAACTTCGCTCTGATGGAGTGCCCTGAATTGAACTGAAGTTCAGCTCAAGATAGATGAAATCGTGAGTGCCTAAAACCAGCTCAGTGTGCGTAACTGTAAAGTGAGGTGGGCTCATACTTTCATGAGCATAAGCTGGAACATTAGAAAGATGGAACCTTGCTTTTTTCGTGCAGCAAAACAAAGTTTTCTAAGTAAAACTTTTGGCATGTGCAAGTTAACGCTTCATTGTAAGATATAACAGAATTACTATAACATTGCAACTCTGACACTTTGTCCAGACCTATCGTGTGGTGTGAAAAACATTAACTGGCTTTGAACGTTCAGATTTCATTAAACTTGGCTACCCAGTGTATTTTGTAAGATATCTTGTTCTTAAAATATGTAACCCGATTATTGGTGCTTGTTTTTTAGGCCCCTGGAGGAATTGCAACACCCCTCGTTTATGGCCAACTTCTAGCTTTATACCTGTTGCATAATGACATGTAAGTGGCTTGTATTAATCTTTAACTTCAGGTACTGAACTTGTCGCTATTAGCTAGAGCTGTAGTTGCCGGAATGTTAGCAACTGGTTGTGTGACTAAGAAAATCCATGTAGGCAGTGCTGCTGGTTTTTTTTGTTTTGTTTTTTTTTTTTTTTAAATTCACATAATTAAAGTCTCGCTCACCCCTTGCTCTCTCAGAAGAATTGTTCTCCTTTGCTCTTGCCCTTCCTTTTGAACTGTAGGAAAATAGATTGGCTTTAGGAAGAAAGTTCCTTAAATAGTGAAATTGGCTGCTTTGGAAAGTGTTGAGCAATTCAATGTTTTGATTTGTAGCTTTTCAAGGCTGCATTTGTTTTGAGTAAGATTGCTGCTCCTCCTTGTGTCTACTTACAGCAGGGTAACTCTAAACTGTTTGTGTTAATGAGGGATGCTCTTTGCTTGAATGAGCTAAATCTTCATGAAGTAGTAATCCTTTGAATTTGGTCTGGTGGATTATTACCATTCCCTGTGTGAACTTGATTCGCTATGTTTAGGGTTTTATTGAGAAATTGCTGATTATTTATTCAGGCAAAATAAATGAGATTGCTGTGTTTGAGTACCGAGCCAAAGTAAGCGTTGGTGTGGGCATTCGAAGATTTGAGTGTTTTCTTGCATTGTAGATACATATTCTCTCAGGGCAAACTCCCTGAATGCTGATACTGAGTATTAGGTTTAATGCCGATAACCTTGGTTCAAAAGAATTTGAGGTTTTAGGATTGTGGAGTTTTAGAATTGTACTTTCATGAAGAGCAGTGAGTCTTTTCTCCTGGTTTGCATTTTAGATCTTTCTGAGAATTTGAAACCATTTCACTTTGACTTTTGTGCTCCAAAGATCAATGACTAAATATTTCAGTATGTCCAAAACTCCAGAATGCACGTGACAAAGCTCATTTGGGAAGAACATGCACTGAACAGTGTAAATCTTTGCTATGCAAAGTGAGGTGTGGGCACATGAAGAAAGTATTTTTATGCTATTAATAAGTAAAATAAAAATAGCTTTAAATGGTGTTTGTTTCATCATTTTTAAGTTCTGTATTTGTATACTTTATAGTGTACATAATATATCAATACAGTCGTACATGTATATAATTTATAAATACATACATGTATTTATACATACTGGGGGTACATGCTCAAAAATGTTTTTCTGTTAGAAGCACTTGATCTAAGTGTGGAGACCGCTGATCTAAACGACTGCTGACTTCATGAAAAGCTGCTAGTTGTACACGTGTTCATCAAAGAGGCAGCTATTCCAAAAATAAAACTGCAAAACTAACTTCTGTGCAGTGCTGCCTAGGGTAGGTAAATGGGAAACTTTTTCTAAACTGCTGTTAAATGAGGCAGTTAATGAACTATTTGTTGTATTATGGCAGTCATGTTGTCTGTTTGAGAGTGATTTTGTTTTTCTACTTCAGTAGACAGAGAAAGAATGTTTTAAAGCACTGAGACTGTTAATTATAGCGTCTGAACAAATGTTCCTTGTAGCAAACATTTGGTTACTGAGAACTATTTTTAACAATTTTTTTTAAGGAATAATGCGCGATATCTTTGGAAAAGAATCCCTCCTGCTATCAAATCTGTAAGTACTTCATAAAATACTGTTTGATACTAAATTTCACATAAGCTTGCAAATAGTGACTTTTTCCCCCCCTTAAGGATTCCATTGGAGTATCCTTGTGCTCAGTTCTGTGCTGTGAACCGCTTGCCCAGCAGATGGCATGTTGATCTTTAAGATCTCCTAGCTACTCATCTGTTACCTCTTTTCCTTCCCAAATAATCTGGTGCAATAGAATTCAGTAAATCTGTAGACTTTTTAGTAGAAAGCCTCATGATAAAGGGCAGTCAGCTGGAGGAAGGCAATGGATCTGACTCTGGGACAGGGCCACGTTCCGCGTGAGGGTGCAGAATACCTTGCGCAGTGAAAAGCGACTTCAGATAAGTTGCATCTTTGAGTTGATTTAACTTTCCAAAGGCAGAAACTTTTTTTTGCACTGCATTTGGATCAAAGACACATTGAGGACTTAGCTAAATGTAATACCAGAAATGCTTCCAGACTTTATTGTTGTTAGATTTTTTTTAGCTTGAGATCATAATTTACAAGGAAACAAGTGTCCTGTGTTGTTCTACTAAGAAACCTCATGGTCAAGATGGGACCTGTCAGATGGTTCTGAAATAATTTTCTCTTAAGAAAATAATTGCATAAGTTGAGTCAATAGTCATCTGGACCAAATCTTACTTGGCCTTTTTCTGAAACCTGTATTTGTTGCTCAGCAATATTCTGTGAATAGTCTGGCTTTCTTGCATTTCATGTAAAGCATCATTCTTGGTGGGGGAAACTAATTCCGTGAATTATTTTGGGAAGGTTATACCTCAAAGCGTAGAATTTTCTTATGTGTGTGTGCTGATGAATCTTCTACCAATTGAGTCAAGTAATGATTAGTATGAATCTTAACTTCAGAAACAAGTCGGTGGTTGTTACAATTGAAAAATAATACCTTTATTGCTCAGCTTGGTGTTTGGTTGGTGTTCTGACAGGCTGTTCAGTTGACCAGATGATAATGTGTAACACAGTAGAAGCAGCTCTTAAAACCAGTAGTGGGAGAGCAGTTGTAGTGAGTATGGCTCCGTATTAAGTGTGACCTATCGTCAAGATTGCAAGATGAAATTTCAAGTGGAAAATTGCCTTCCCTGTGCAGACAGCCTCTGCACTTTTTATAAAGCCTCTACTGAATAGAGGCAAGCATTACTCTAAGCAGAAAATGAGCTGTGCCTGTCCTTTTGTAACTCCAGTCAGTAGCCTGGGTGCAAACGATCCTCCGTGATTGTTTTAGCTGGTATGTTGGCCTGGATTGGTATAACTGACATGGCAGCAGACTTTGCTTATGTGGGTGAGAAAGTTTTGGCAGAGGATGGATCAGGGGAACTTGGAGCAGCGATACCTGCTAGAACAAGATTTCCCAATGCTTGTCTGTTTGTCGTTGCAGGTATTGTGATCTACTCCAGCAATGGGAAAAGGAGGGGAGTGGAAACAGGTTTCTGCACAATAGTCGCTGCAGAGAATACACCATTCTGGATTAACTGCTGTTTTTCTGTCACAACAGGCAAATGCTGAACTTGGTGCGGTTTGGTCAGTAGGACAAAGAATCTGGCAGAGAGACTTTCCAGGAATCTATACAACAATCAGTGCGCATCAGTGGTCCGAGACGATTCAACCAATCATGGAAGCACTTCGAGGTACAAATTGAACCTTTTGTAGGTAGCGTGGAATTACATGGTGCCTTAAGTTCTTTGTGTGCTCAAACAGAAGTAGACAGATGACTACTTAATACTATGAAAAATCGGAAATGGTCAGGAAGATTGCCAGGTTTTTGTGGGTTTTACTTAAAGGAATTTAGTTATCGGGTGTAAATAAAAAGTTCATTACCAAAACTTGTGGAAACGAATGGAAATGTTTTTATTAATTAGGATTGTGTGTGTGATTGAAATGCCAACATGAAAGAATATGCCTACACCGTATGTTTCATTCCGTAGAGGCAAAACAGACCGCTAGTTTTCCGGTTTTATCAGACTTTTAACCAGTAATCTAGAGAGCTTGACTTAGCATTACAGAACCTTGTGACACTTCTGAAGTTTTTCTTTTAAATGGGGCTTTAGACAAATGTTGTCATTATAGACTGTACAACAGTTATGTGCAAAGTCTTGCTACTAGAGGGCAGCACAGACTGCTAAAAAGCCTTCTGAGGTCTTTTGCAATAACAAATTCTCTGTAGCTTTAGAAACAACTGATTTGCAGATGCCTTGGTATCAAAGCAGATGTGGTTAAAAAGGCATGAATAGTTTGACATGTTGCTTTTTTCCTCATTTTTTTCTGCTTTTGAACTATTTGAGACACAAACTTACTGCAAATGGAGAATGCCATCAGAAGCAGAGTTTCCTAAACTGGTTTGCATACTGGTGGTAGTACCCAAGATGCTGCAAACTGCCTTTGGAAGTTAAACGTGGTCTCTGAGGGGTTTTGTCCTGGCATAGAGCAAGCTGTTGCCTCTGGCTGTTGGCTGTGGTACTTCAGCGAATTGTGGGAAGGGAAGGGGAAATTCTGAAGTGCGGTGGTGGTTTTCCAAGTGTGTTAGAATTGGAAACATGTTCTCTTATTTCTTAGTTACGGCGATTAGTCTACTGTCTGCTTACAGTGTTTATCTCCTCTTAGATGCAACTAGGCGACGAGCCTTTGGACTGGTTTCTCAGGCATATACCTCAATAGTTGCAGATGATTTTGCAGCCTTTGTTGGGCTTCCTGTAGAAGAAGCTGTGAAAGGTACTTTGCATTTATTCACTGAATAGGTTTTCTGCAGATGATTGAGTTCAGAGAGCTGCAAGTGCTGGTAAATAGAAAGATGTGTACAAATTCTGAGACTTCTATGAAAAGAAGTGATGGAGATAGAGGAAAAATGTCTTGGTTCTGGATAAGTGTTTGATTTTTTTATTATTATTTGCCACTAGTAACCATTGGTTATCCTCCCCTTCTATATGTGGAAGTGCTAAAGCATGTCAGCAATGAGGGAAGACCAAAGGTAGTGGGTTAACCTGGTTTTGCGCGCTCTTACTACTTTCATGAGCTTATCTGTTGAACTAAATGTCTAGATGCTTACAGCAGAGTCTTAGAGTTGTGGCATGTACGCAGTGTATTGAGATGCTTTTCTGTTGGTCTTAATGTGCATCTTTATTTTGTGTTTCTAGCCGTGATATAAGACATTTGCTCTTACAAATGTAAAAATGCCTTTTCCAGGTGTATTAGAACAGGGCTGGCAAGCAGACTTTTCAACTCGTATGGTAATGCCTAAAAAGCCAGGTAGGTGGAGCTGTTACTTGATTTAGATGTTGAGTTAGGCATTTTCTAGTAATGAAGTGTTGGTTTTTAATTAAAATTTTGCGCAATATTCTTTTAGATATTTTTATGGGGGTTTATGCTGCTGTAGAACATGGAATGTTTATGAAATGTAGTGGGTTTGGGTTGGGGTTACAAGTAGTTTGGATTAAACTACATCCTCAAATTAACTTGTTTAAACAAAAGTAGACAGGATATGCTATGATTTCTCCTGCTCCTCCTCTGCTGCTGGCTCTGACTCAGTGGAACATAAGTTGGATGACCTCAAGTGACATGTCTTAATCTAATAAAGATGAGTAAAAATATACCATTTTGAACCTGAGAATTTTTTCAGGAGAAGTAGAGCTTTTTTGGGCAGGGATCTCATGGATCTTTGTGTTTTGAGGAGCTCAAGTTGTTGGTGTAATTTCCTTTGCTTTTTAAAACTTACTCTACTGGATCTTTTATCACTTATGATGTTGATAACAGAATATCTGTTCCCGCAAAGCTCAGCCTGCAAAAATACTTGGGTTTTTTCCTTTTTGCTAAACCACTATCTGTGGCTGACTGAGGCAAAAATAAATGTTAAGCTATGAAGGCAGAGATGAGATGACTACTCTTGAACTGCGCAGTGCAGCTCTGGAAGAAGGAGCCAAATTACAGCGTATGTAAAAGGGCAACATCTATTAGGCTAAGAAAATATATTGTTTGTATGGGCACAATTTTTAGGTGTTCAGAGCCCAGAACATTGTAATAAACATGTGCCAGGCAAGGTGTTGAAATTTATCCCTTGGGGCATATAACCAACAAGAGTCCGGAGCTTTTGCATGTGATCAGGTTATTTCATGAACTGGTTGCAAAATACGCAGTGCTTTACAAGTACTGAGAGTTAGTTACGTGTGGTTCTTTTCCAAAAGCAAGTGCAAGGACTATTTTAGAGGCAAAAGAAAGAGGCTGGAGGTTGTCATATATTTTGAAGCTGCATGTCTAACCAGCTAAGCCTTGGGTATTCTGCTTTTTAGCTGTGAAGTAAATCAAATAAATGAGCAGGCTTAATTTTAATGACCTTTTAATCCAGTTTTGGCTTAATGTATAGAAGTGTTTAAAATTGGTCCACTGGGATAACTTCTGTTGTGTTTTTCTTCAGGTGTGCTGGAAGCTTCCTTTAACAGATTTATTCCTTCATCAGGTACTTTCTCTTTATGTATAATCTACTTGCATATATCTAAACTTGTGTGATTAATATAAACACAATTTCACGAGCAGCACAAAATGGGAACTGGGTCCTAGAGAAGTGAATGTTGTCATTCCCTCCTCAAAAAAAACCCCACCCCAATCAGCTGTTACAGAAACATGCTTCTCCCTCTGTCGTCTTTCCCTCACATTTTAAGGAGAGTAAGGAGCAGATTCCAAAGCAGGGGTAGACAGCCCCTGTAAAACAAAGGATTTTGGTGAAAACTTGCGGCTTTTTCGCTAAGCAACTCTTGTCAGTTTTATTGCTTTTGTGATAATGGGGCTTCTGATATCTTCCCTGTATAAGAAGGGAAGGATCTGCTGGTTTTCCTCAGAGCTGAGCTCTAGATTGAGGTGTAATACATTGTGTCATGCTGGTTCTCAAAATGCTGTTGTCTTTAGTTCTCAAGATAGTGACAGCAGATCTGAATTGGTGGCTTGCTAACACAGTTGCCAAAAGCGTCTTAAATTTGCAGGTTTAATTCCAAGCCAATTTCCAGAGCTGGGGTCTTGCTTTTTGAAAACACCCTTCTGATTGTCAGCCTCCTCTATCATGTACTTGCAGCCCTTAGCAGTATGTCTACTCAAACCATATCCTGAATGATAGTCTTAACTCTTCAGGGAGAGTAAATGTAAATTTCCTGTTATTTTTTTATTTCTGATGATTAATTCCTAATTTATCTCCCTGGCTTTAGTCACTTGTCTTCCTACCTATTGTTAAACTGTAATCTCAGGTTAGCTGGCATTCTCCTGCATCCCGTGAGGTACTTGGCCACCTTTTGTTAGTCAGATAACCCAGCAGATTTATTCGGTATCTTCAGTATGGCAGCTTGTAAGGAAGGGAGCAACTGCAGAGCTCCAGGAGCTTTTTTGTCAAGTGGAGGTACTGTCAGTCTTCATTATCCAGATTCTAGTATATGAAAAAAAAAAAAAGAATCTGGAGACTGCTGACAACTGTTACAGTTATCTTTGCTGTTAGTAATTCTTGGACTTAATATCTGCACCATTAAGTGCAGATATTAACAGAAAAGTAATGTCAGCTAAAGCTGCACAGGTAGAAGATACAGTTAAGGTACAGCTCCATAAGACAGTTTCATGCATTTAAATTTTTCCTTACTTTAGTGATGGATGGTATTGCAGATGGATTTGTTTTCTTAATTTCATTAATGATGCATTTGTTTTATCTTTGTAGAACCTGCTCCGGTTCCACCAATTCCAAATGAACAGCAGTTGGCCAGATTGACTGACTATGTGGCTTTCCTTGAAAATTGATTACCCTGCTCCTGTATTCAGAACAACTTGGGAATCCTGTGTACTGACATTTTTAGAAATCTAGGATTTTTTTTATTTCATATCTGTTAAATGTTGCAGCGTCCCCTACTCAATTGTGTGAAGTATACAGCGTATGTTAGCCCAATTTGTGTTTTGCCAAAGCCAAGATAGCAATTGAAACAATCCTTTAACTCTTGTAATATTTATTCAGTAGGTACACAGCAGTATTACATAGTAAGTTTTTTTTAATTGACTCATAGCAGAGAGGCAGAACTTTTTTCAGGTATATTAGAAACAGAGAAGAAAAGATGAGTTAGGTTAACTAAGCAGGTTAACTGTGTTGAGGAATTTATGCTAGTAGGTTATGTACTTCTGTGGTGAGTACTACAGTGCGTATCACAGATCAATTGCATGTTGAACTTAAGTACAAAGAGTGGAAGACTGCCCTACCCATATCTGCAGAGAGAAAATGTTTTGATGAAACAGTAACTTAAATAAGAAAATAATTTACAATTAATCTTTTGCAAGTATATTTGTGGCATACTTATAATTGATTTTTTTTCTTGTTGGTCCTTCTGGATTGTTAAGTCTTCTTGTTTTGATGTGAGAAACTTCACATTGGGCATATTTTTACAGCAGAATAATTGGAGTCATTTAAGAAAGGCAAATTTTCACTTCGAGGAAGAATTTTTACTTCTGGAAAATTTTGAGTGGCATAGGACACCAGATATTTTGCTGGATAACCATGTACCTTCTTGAAGCCTGTCATGGCTTGGTTCTTTTCAGTACACTGGGCCGGGAGCTACAAGAAACAACAACTCTTACCTGTCTTTAAGCTTTCTGGATTACCTCTGCCGTTATTGGAGAGGAATTAAAAATTGGAGTAGATGTCCCTGAGTAGAGACCAGTTGGGATGGGGATGATATGTTATGCTGCAGTGTCGGTTTGAGGAATAGATTTTCTGTATCGGGGCACTGCTGTGTTAATCTTTGAGAGTGGCTTTTAGAAGCAGAAAGAGGACTTGTATTCCCAGGCTTCTTGTTTGTATTATGCTGGTAAAAAGGCTGGGGGAAAATAGTGGTGCTTTAAAGGGCAGTGCATGTCTTCATTTGCTTCTCCCCCCTTTTCAACATCATATTCAGTGGTTTCATCGAAGATGGCAAGTGTGCCGTATGTTGTGATTGTTTTTTCAGTGTGCACTACCTACTGTACATTCTCTTGTTGGAGATGTGTTAGCAGGGAGGAATTATAAACTGTGCACTGCTGCTTTGAGAGCTCCCTTTATGCGTAAACACTTACTCAAAATGATTATTTATTTGAAACCCACCTAAGACTTGGATTTCTAAATTTATCTTCAGTGATATTAAAGAACATGTTTACACTGACCTTGCGTACTTGATTTTTTTACTTTTCCTTGGAGTACAGCTGTTCTGGTTTGACTAGTTTTTTAATGAATTCGTCTTAGTCTAATTTGGGCAGAGCTGGTTAAAGATTAGTGTAATACGTTATGCCTAGGCAGGTATTTTGAACAGCTTTGTGTGCAGCTATTGTATAGTTTATGTTAAAAATACTGGTACCCTTCAGATGTCTTTTAAAATATTCAAAGGCGTAAAGTACTTGAAGAGCTAAATGAAAATTTCCCCTTCTGTGTATGTATTGTGCAACTCTGCAGTTGTTTGTAGCACGCAGACAACCCTGCTTGCAGCCAGGAAAATTAGACATGATGAAAGGATTACTAGCCACTTGCACTTAATGGTAATAGGAGAGGAGCAACGTGAGCACTGGTGATCTGTGTCTATCTCCAAGCTAATATTAAATCTATCAATGTAAGCTTGACTCTTCTCTGTCCAGTTCTAACGAGTTTGTAATTTTGCGATCTCTGGTCTGCTGTAAAATTTAAGCTGGCTTTTAGGTTTGGGTATGGCACTAACTCCTAACTTACCTTGAGTACTGTGTTCCCGGCCATGATTCTTTTTGTCCTGCTTTGGAATCCTCACTATTTCAGATCTTTTTTTATCCTCATTGCCCTTTATTATGGTTTCTGGTTCACAAATATCCTTTTTCAGATGGGCTGCTTGTTGCCGCTCTTACTAGTTGTGTAGTGGACATAGCATGACTCCTAACAGCAGAATATTTTCTACTTCTTCCTGATCCTTTCTAGAACTGGCTCTGTTCTAACATCTCTTGACTGCTGCCCAGTTCTCAGTGTAATAATGGCAATGACTCGAGTATCTTTCATCAGCAGTGTTAACTAGGTTGGTGGGCATCATTGCATGTCCTTATTCAGGATTTTCCCCTCTGGTTAGTGCAGGTCACACATGGATAACAAATAGGTGAAACTTCAGTTTTGTAAGACACTTCTTCATAATCAGGCTTGCTGTTGCCTTCTTGAATTCCTTTATAATCTTTGCTAACATAAAGAACTTTATCAATGTTGAATATAATAGGTATTACAGTAATTTATGGTAGCCTCCTCCACTATGACAACTGACTGTCTGCTACTTGCCCTTGGCCATTCCTTTCCCCTTTAGTCTACTAATTTGTGTAGTTTTTAGAAACATCTGTTGTATATGAAGTAGATTACTTAATTTACATTTGTCGATTCCTTGTAGAAAAAGTTAGTGGATTTGAAGCTGCCTACAAAACCAAACCATGCTTCCTCAAATACTCTCCCAGGTATTTTTTATTTCTCCTTTTTTACTAATGAAAATGCTGCCTGATTCCTCTGTCTAGATGCTTGTCTTGGTTTTTTAGGTTTTAAACTCAGCCTGCTCCTCACCTGTCCATTTAAGACTTGGTAAAGGAGCTAGAGGTATTAAATCTTGGAGAAGTAGGGTATTGCAGCCAAATGGAATGCCGTGCTTTGTGTCTGGGAATGGGACAATTGCTTTATTGATGTTAATTTGAAGCAACACTGGAGCAAGTCTTAATTTACTGTCATTGGTACTGCTTACTACAGACAGCTTTGAGGGATGTTGTTAACTGTCACGAGACCTTTAATGGACTGACTTGATGTGTATTGAGCTATTAAAGTCAAATTTTTAGTTTTCCAAAATTTTCTTAAAATTAGTGAATGATTTTTATCCTGCATCAAGCTATCAGCTGGTTCACAGTACCTATAAATAGGAAATCTACCTCCAGTGGCAAGTTTTTTGTAGTTCTTTGTGGAGATATGTGGATACATTGTCATGATTGATTTGGTTCCTGAACTGCAGTGTGCCTTGCATCCTCAGAACAGGAATTGAGAGCCTTCTCAAAGTACTATGAAATGATGTGTTTCTCTTTAAAAATACTGGATCAGAAAGTTTGGAGTTACAGTAGGTCACTAATGAAATTCAGAATTGGATTTAATGGCTGAAGACAAATGCAGCTTTTTTCTCCCAGCAGAGGGTCACTAGGTGGAAAGACAGGTGTTACTGTATAACATAGTTTAATTAGATGAAAAGATTTAACCAGTCTCTGAAACGTATAGAGGAATCTGTCCGTAGAGCTGTGGTTAACCTAGCAAGCAAAGATCTAAGATGAGCTTGATAGAAAAGGTAGGAGAGTTCAGTTCTCTTGAAGGCAGCGAGTAGTCTCAGTACGGTAGCTATTTTTAGGCTTACTCTAACTCAGGGTCTTCCGCTGAGCGTACTTCGATACTATGGAAAAGTGTAAACAGCTTTGTGACACATGGTATTACGAAAGCCAAAATCAGACACATTTGTAGAAAAGTGGGTTTCTTTTCTTCTGGCTTGGGCCTGTCTTGTGCTAAAATATTGCAGTCTCAAAGGGGTCAAATTCTGCTGAGCGGAAACGTTAGTCCGTTTGTCAGATGTGATCTGTGTTAAAGGATTTCAGCTTATGCTTTTACTGCTCTGGCAAGCCTAGCATAGCTTTGTGCTTCCCTGTCTTGGTAACCAGACTGTGTAAATTACTTCCTAAAGTGAGATCTTTCAGCATTTGAATGCTTACCTGGACTGCTTTAACCCTGTGCTTTCAGCTCAACAAAGAGGAAGTAGTTTTGTGGTCGTATTTGTTTTTTTTTTAATTGAAACAAATGATGTGGGTTTTGGAGTTCTTCCAAATGCTTTTCCGTCCGCAGTGCTGGAACAGTGCTGGAGTGGGAGGACCTTTGGGTTAAGAAACCATTAAGAATTCAGTTGGGAGCAGACGTTCTTGAAGGATTTGAAAAAAGAAATTCCATTTCGAGTTAGTGTTTTCCATTTTCATCTGCATCCCACATGGAATTGAAGATTGTTTCTTTGCATTTTATTAGCCTCTCCTCTATAGGTCAGTGGTGCTCATTTACCTGCAGTTTCAGTCTCTGTAGAGAAAACTGTTTCAGCTCAAAGGTGGTTAAAAAAGGAGAAACTGGGTATGGAGGCAGAGCAGTAGAGTGTGCCTCCCTGCTGAAGATCCTCATGGAAACCTTCTGTAGGCTTTAATAACAAAGCCTAGCAGATTTTCCAGGATCTGATCAGAACTGTCAGTAATGCGTTTGGATCGATCCTGCCGCAGATACTGCGCTTAGATATTCTTCCTTGTTTTAGTAATCCGGATTCATTCTGAAACCCATTGGAGGTTTTTTGGCATTGCTAATCTATAAAGTATGTGCAGAAACTGTCCAGTCCAGTTTCTGAGCATTTGAGAAGCTCCCTTTTAAGAGTAAAAAGGGCATCAGCTCAGCCTGGTGCTAATTATTCCTCTGGTGGCCTCAGTTTATTCAGGTGACTGGCTACTGTAGTAGCAGGCACAAGATATAAAACACTGTGCTTTGTACATCTCATTAGCTTCTTTCCTCTCACCATAAATATCTTGCAGGGCTTGCAAAATGAATGCTGCAGAGGAAGAAAACTAATAGTGTTAAGTCTGTACCCTAGCAGCCCAGTGTATGTGCAATACTACACGTTGTGTAGGACGAGGGGGGAACTGTGGGGATAGATTGTGGGTGGGTGGTTTGTTCTCCCTGTGTCGTACCCTGCTGGAGTTGGCTGGGCTGTCGTCCACATGGCATCTTGGTGTTTTCTTACTTCTAGGAAGGACTGTCTGGGCTGGCTGGCTTGGCCCTTCCAGTTCCAGAGCCACAAGCAATTCAAAGCATCTGCTGCTCAGAGCCTGGTTTCCTGCATTGAGAGAAGCAGTCCCAAAGCCTTTGTAAGGCGTCTGAAAGTATTTAGTAGTATGTGTTTGATAAAGTTCGGGAGTGACTAAAATATAAGAGGAAAAAGAAAAGGCTCGCAAGATTGTACTCTTGAGTAGGCTTAGC